GGAATGGCTAAAAATTGCCTGCTCTGTCTTGTCTCTGCCTGGGGCCAGGGCAGGCCTCGGTGTTTCATTCATCATCACCAGCCTCTGATCAGGTGCTATAGGATTTTTCCCATTACTGGCCCTCATCATGGAGGAATTGGCCCTGGGCACTTATGCAACAATTTAATGTCTCCCTCCTTCTTATTTCCCCAAGAAGACAATGAGTCTGTCTGTGTTGTTCTGTCTGAGGTTGGGAAAGGGATGAGGTGGGCAGTCTCAAGTCCACCCATGGATCACACCCAGAGCCCACAGCTTCCCAGGATCAGTGCAGCACAGTGGTGGCACTAAGGACCCCAGTGGTGTGGCCTGCCACTGCTGTGGTATACTTGTGGTCCAAGACCATAGTAAGCAACCAAGGATAATGCTGGCTGCAATGCAGTTTCAGCCAACTGGGATCTCTGCTGGTGACCAGGACATGATCATATGCTCCAACCCTAAACAAAGGCCAGAGAAATCTCATTGGTGTTGAGTTTCCATGATCCAGTCAGTAGATTCTAAAGCAAAGTTCTGTGTTTATGTCTGTCCTATTTCAGAAGATGGGATCTTTCTGGATACTGTGCTGTCTAAGGTTCAGGGAAGGTTGGGGAATGCAGGACTTACAAGGTTCAGGCTGGGACACCATCCTCAAAGAGTGGTCTGTAGGACTCTGTCCTGTACTGTATTTCACTGTAGCAGGTATGGAACTGGGTTACATGTCTGAGTTGTGGAATTAATTTTCTCTCCTTGTTACTTAATTTTCATCCTTTGCTTCTCGGAATAGGAAGAGAAGGGCAATCATGTTGGCAATCCTTTCCTTTCTACTTTCTTCAACATACCCTTTCTCATGCAAACCACCAACTATGATCTCCTCCTTGATTTTCTTAGTGCACAACTAGCGTTCACTTTGGTGTTTCTGTGGGTTCCCTGGGCTGGAGGATCTTCTCTGCTGCTGTCTTACTCTAATCCCTGGGGATGTCTTTTTTAATGCAAGAACAAAGACAATACACAAAGCTATAGAAAGACATTTTACTGTACACATAAGTGAAATTAGTCACAGAAATGAAGTGTGGTTTATAGAAAGGGAATTGGAGTGAAATATAGAGTGCAAGATTGTAATTTTAATTGGAAAGACTGGGAGTACCTCATTGAGAAAGTAGCATTTTAAAAGTCTGGAAGTAGGGAACAGTTAGTCATGAAGATAGCTTGGAGAAGACACAATAGCTAGCAGAGAGAGCCCTTCACGGTGTGTACTTATTTATGTGTGCATATTCATGTGTATAAATGTGTATGCATGTGAGATATTTCTAGGGAATATATATGCATATATATTAGCATATACAGTTTACTTATTTGTATACATATTCCTACATTCACTTATCTAAGAAAGGGAATAAACTCAAACATCGTTCTATTGCTTCTATCATCTGATACAAAGCTTGAGCTTGAAGAACGCATCTATCATTATTTAGGGACTCCACAGTAATTAGCTTTAATAGTAAAATAAGATCTCAAGAATATCTGTAGCCTAACATGTTCATTAGCAATTAGTATCATCAAAATGTATTGTTTTTTGGCAATTGGTCCTAGAAATTATAACATCTCATGATACTCTAAGTGTAAAGCTCCAATCTCTAGTGAAATGTTGGACACTTTCGGAGATCTGAGTGAGTTCAGACATTTTCTGGGGAACAAATTTGCGGGGTGACTCAAAGCATAGCCACTGGAAGAAGTCAGGTAGCAAAAGAAATTCTTAAATAGGTTATCCTAGAGTAAGAGCATAATTCACTGGCTGGACTTTCTAAGAAGCCTACCCTTAGAGTTCAGCAGCTGGGGTCCCTACCCTGGGTCTTACACTCGAGACAGTCTTTTTCTGGCTCTCTTCCAATTGTGATCCTTCCCCTAGCATGAGGAACCCATAAGCCCAAAGCTGCTGCCATCCTTACTGTGGACCTCACAAACCCTTTCCCACACAGCCCGAGAGCACTGCAGTATGTGGCTTCCTCTGGGGACCCAACCAGCCAATACTGTGCTCCTCTGTAACCTTCAAAGGTCAAGGAAGGGGAAGTTCTAGAAGGCAGTTATAAACACAACTTGGATGGCATTATAGACCGACCAGGACTTGACTTCCCAAGCTCATGCAGAAGGTTAAAACTGTCTTCTGTTCACAATTAATTGATTTTATTGAGTAGGATAGAGACATGATCTCTTGGTGAAAACAGGCAGGGAGGGCTTTAGGTCACAAGAGGCTTGCCCTTGGAAGGAAGTTTTCATGAGCTTAGTGACTGAAGCCCAGTTTGGCCCAGTTCCCTCTTTCACCAGGTCATCACCTCTCTGCACATGCCCTGCCATGGCCAGCCTCCACCAGGTAGGCTGCCTGAGCCTCAACTGTGAACCTCCCAACTGTGCTTGAAATATAACTTCTCACGCCAAGAAGCTCCTTTCAGGCATTTTCACCAAATTAGACAAAACCTGACTAATAGAGATACTGTGAGCCAGAGTGATGACACTCATGCAGCCAGGAGTAGGAATAGAATGGGGAGTAAGCCGCAGGGTTTAGGAGTTTCTGCCTGTGGGTTTTGTTTGTTTGTTGTTTATTTGTTTTTTAGCTCTGAGGATGTTCATGGCAGGGCTGTTTACTAGCCTAAGAGAAGCTCTTAGGCCCTGTCTTCAAGAACCATGGCAGAGGAAGAAAGAACCAATGGAATCAAACACTTTGTTCATATTGTTTTTGATTGTATTGATCTTACTTCAGAATCTTGTATATGCTAAATGCCAAGAATATTGAAGTGACCGTAACCAGGTCCCTGTCCCTAAAAGGTCCTACTTTTCCTTGTGTTTAAAATTCTGCAACAGTTTCCCTTGTGCTTAGAGTAGAACCCAAACTTCTCTGGCATCCAAGACCCTCAGCAACACAAGTAGTTTGTGCCTCTACCGGCTCTCCACTTTACTTCGGCTACACTGGGCTCCCCTGTACCACACAGTACTTGTCCGTTTCTGGATCTGAATTGTCCACTTGCTGCCTCCAATTGCCAATCATTGACATTCCCAGAAATCTTCTGGCTGCAGAGGTGATTTCATGTGATCCAGTGACACTCAAGCTTATCCCACTGTCATTCTTTCCATAAAATATTGAAGTTGTGCATTAACCTGCTCCTACACTGATGAGAAGGTTCTTTGAGAAGGTAAATGTGTCCTGTTGAGATTGTACAGGAGAGCTGACAGATACTCAATGGAAGTTTAAGTTTACATTGATGGAATGGTTACAGTTAGCTAAAGAGTATACTTATTAATTCCTTTTCAACTTTTATTGTAAAGTATTTCAAATATGACAGAAAGCATAACAATTAGTTCAGTGTATACACACAGATTTGATCATTCCTAACATTGTGCCATACACACTTATATGTGAATACTACATAAATAATAAATATATACATACACTTTTTCTTAAGGGACATTTTATTGTTACATAACACGGAATTCATGACAAAGATCATAAACTAGGTAAAGAAGAGTATATTATTGTGTAAGGAGTATAATTTACTAGAAACAGTACTTACAGATATTTATCTTCCAAGTAATATGCTATTCACACTGTTTTCTACTATATATTAACTTCTGCTATGAAAGAAAATGTGGAATTGTCTTTTTGTCTCTAGCTTATTTCCTTTACCTGATATAAACTCCCATCCATTTTGTAGAAGATTTGTCGAGATTGTATTCTATTTATGGCGAACACTCTATTGCATACATATCCCACATTTTCTCTATTCTGCCATCTGCTTCTGGACATCTATGCTGATTCGAAATCTTCACTGCAGTGATTTGAATTGTAGTCAACATGGCAGGGTGGGCATCTCTTTCACAGGTGAGGTTATTTCCTTTGGATACAGCCCCAGAACTGAGATAGCCGGATTCTACAGTAGAGATGCTTTCAGTGTTTTGAGGAATCTTCCTGCTCTTTTTCCTGATGGCGGCAATCTGCCTTGGAACCAAAGGTGCAACAGGTTTCGCTTTTGTCTACACTCTAACGTGTTATTCCTGACTTTGTCGTCATAGCCCTTCCAACTAGAGTGAGATAACACCTTACTGTGGATTCTACCTGAGCCTTTTAAAGGACTAGTAATACTAAACATTGATGATTTTTTTGCCATTTGTATTTTGTGTGTATGCGCATCAAATGACATTATTAAGATAGTGAAAACACAAATGCACAAGTCTGAAATATTCACAAGTCATTTCTTAATAGTCTCCCCCCCCAAGTTATCCATTCAAACGCTTTGCCCATTTGTTAACCGGACTATTTCGTTGTTTAATTTCTTGAGCTCAGTATTATTTCTGGATTTTAATCCCTTATTAGATTTACAAATATTTTCTCTCATCCTGTCAATTGTCTTTCCACTTTTGATTGCTTCATTTTGTATGCAGAAGGCCCTAGCTCTACATGAGCTCATGTGTCTGTTGTTGTGTTTATTGCCTGTATTTTGGTGTGTGGTTTTTTTTTTTTTTTTTTTTGGTTTCTGTTTTTCAAAAAATGTCATGGCCTGTGCCACTGTTCTGGAGTGCTTCCTCCATGTTTTCCTAGTGTGACTTAATAGTTTCAGGTCTTACTAAAGCTAAGTGCCAAAAATATACGGTACTACCATTAGAAAGAAGAAGAAACGGACTCATGGAACAGAATAGAAACCCAGAAATCTAAGATACTACAATCAACCAATCTTTGACAAATCTGCTTAAAGATACAACACCATGTATGAAAACATTGGATTTCCGCATGCATTTGAAATGAGACCCCTGCCTTACATTCTACTTTAAAAAACAGCTAACGGATTTGAATGTGAAAACTTGCAGGAAAGAAACTGGGGGGAGTCAGACTCTCCAGCCAGCAGGTGGCGTCAGTGCGTCGGCCAGCCGGTCCTGGTCACAGTCACCCGAAGGGAATTATGGCGTCACAGAGCCTGGGATGTCATCGCCTCGGCTCCAGGGGCGGTGGGGACACAGCTGGGTCAGAAGACTTTGGCTTCTGGTCGTCATGGACTCACTAGGACGCTGAGGAGGGTCGGTCGTCGCATCTGCTGCAACCGAAGGAAGGCAGTCCGGGTGAGGAGCCAAGCATGGGAATTGTGAACTGAGAAGAGTCTGAAAGAAGTGTGCAGCCGGAACAGGTGACACAAGGCGCCTTGTGGGTCCCCTCCCGTGCCTCGTTCACTCGTTCATTCCTCGACTGCTTACTGAGACCTGTACAACATCACACAGTGTGTTCAGTGTGTGAGAACATGGCAGGCAACAGGGCAGAAGTGCTGTGCCCCTAAGACTAAGGAAGGAGGAGAGATGGGGCATTTGGGGAAGTGTAACAACTATAAAAATGTAAATATTTGGACACGAATTCAAAGAAGCAATCCAGGGGACTGAGCCTCTGGGTTCAGGCATTTTCCCCCAGCCTGTGATGTCTAAACGGAGAGTTCAGGTTTAAATCATATTTAGCAAGGGTGTGGGATGTTCAAAGATCCAGCAAGAGGTGAGCCTAATTCAGATCCACTCTGAGCCATCAGATGAGCATGAAAGTTCAACCACTGGAGCTGAGGCTGAGCTGGTAGGCAGAGGTCAAAGACAGGGCAACCTCACCAGCACTGCTGAACTTGTGAACTTGAACTTGGCCTGTGTTGGTTCTCACTGTAACAGCAGGAAGAAGGCCAAAGCAGGTGTCCCTAGCTCTGTGCTACGGGTGTTATATGACTTGATTTTGCAAATTTCCTGGGCAGGCTTGTTGGGTTAGGAAGGGACATGGGTCTTGGAAAGAAGCTTGTTTTCAGTAGAACTGTCTAGTTGGAAGCAAGGTGGCCCAGGTTGGAGATTCTTTGGGCAAGAACTAAGATGCCAAAGATGGGAGTGATGAAGGAGGCCTAACTATTTCCTTAGATTAAGGAGGGGCATTTTTGGGGACCATGCTACCAGAGATGTTTCTGGGTTATAGGGTCATAATGGAGACAGTGCAGGGCCAGGATAAAGGACTTGTGTGCAGGGTGGAGAGGCTGATCTAAAGTGCCACTGCCCTCCTTATTGCTGCAGTGGGCACAGCCTGCCTCACTTCTTGGACAAGGCCCAGCCTCTGCATTCACCACCCATTTCCAGGGTCTGAATACAGAAGATGTGCTTTAGGGAACATGGGTGGGGCCACCCGTGGTAGGAGCTTCGAGTACTCTGATGCCTCCATACCTTCCACCCCTTCAGCCTCTGGCCAGCTGTCCGGCTGGGGTGCGGGAGCTGTCTGGCGCATCCCCGCCCTCTTCCCTGAGTCTTGCTCCAGTTTTTTCTTCTTCACACCAAAGCAGATGCCTGTTTCTGAAAGACACCTAAGTCCCAAATCCCTGGCAAGCCTAGAGACATGAGGCAAAGCCAAGGAAACCACTATGCTAAAGAAGGAACTTTCCCCTGCTATCGGGGAGCTACTCACGGCCAGGGACTTGGGAATGCCAAGAGATTGCAACTAGTGGCACAGGCTTTCCCCAGTGACTCCCCTGCAGCTTGGGTTCAGAAGATTCGGAGAAGCCAGGGTTCTGCTGGGAGTGGCTCCACCTGTTCCTCAGACAGCACAGGGGCACAATACAGTCTCCCTGGACATGTTTCAGGACCTCTTCCCACAGAGATAGCCCCAGATGAGGCTCTGGTTATTATTGTTTAGAAAGTCAAAGCTGAAAAGGGTCAGTGCTGGGGCTGGGCTGCCACCTATCAATTTGAAAGTCTCTGTCTGCAGCGGGTGGAGGAATCAGCCACACCTGGCTCAAGGAAACCCCATTTGTGTGGCGTGAACTACATTTAAGTGAATCCCTAGATGAAAAGGGCTTAAGTGCTTAATCACCCATCATCCAGGACAGCCCAAATCCTGGATCTGCTTCAAAGCCACAAGAGTGGTTCTGAGAGCAGGAGTGTCATCTGATCCTGCACAACCCCAGGGGAGAACGCTACAGCTTTCCATGCCACTGAGGTAGCCCTGGGGAAGATTTTGGTGTGTGGGGGTTTGCTGCTCCTCTCCCCATGAGTGTCCCTATCTACAGGGCACAGAAATGAATAGAGACCAGAGATGCAGAATGTTTGGAGTAGGGCTGGCAGGAAGTGGCTTGGCTGAAAGCCAGGGAGGAGTTAGCAGCAGTGAAGGCACAGGTCTTAGAGCCAGAGGCCAGAACGGAACATGCCCCGATTTCTAAAGCCAAATCAGCAAGGATGAAAAATCCCAGCTCAATCCAGCTTTGACAACCATTGTTACAAACCCAGAGTTCCTCCTGCTTTGTAGAAATAGCTGTGCATGGACACAGAGTATACATGCCTGTGCTAACACACATGCACGCACGTGCACACACACACACACACACACACACACACACACACACACACACGAGTGAGTATGGGAGTGGCTCATGGAAAACCCACAGCAAGAACCAGTTCAGTTTTAAAAACTAGTTTGGGCCATAGGTTTTTCTCAAAAATCCTGTGAGCTCTAGAGGCTAGAGGGTGGTAACTGCTTCCCCCTTAGCAGTCATCACTCAAACTCCCACACCCATTTTTCTCCACCCAGGTGGCAGGGCTCAGAGAGGCTAGGCACCTCTGGCACAAGAGTGTGTGGTCTAGTGGAGTGATCTCACAGTGGAAGGTATAGCATCATTCACTCCCCCCAGCACACACACACACACACACACACCCCTCCCCTAAGACTGGACAACAACCCTGGTCACTGTCCACTGGTCTTGGGCACTTCTAGACTCATCAGCCCCGGGACCATGAGAGTGATTTTCAAACTTTCCTAGAAACCAGGGGCCACATTTGAGAGCCCACTTCCAGGGCTTGAGTTTCTGGATCAGGAGGAAGATGGGTTGATGGAAGCAAAGAATAGTTTGGTGCTTTCCTACTCCCAGCAGAATCAGGAAATTACGAAAGTACCAAACAGTAAGTTTAAGAACATCTGCTGGGTCTGGTTCCCCACCACTCATCCCTGGCACCATTCCTTTACAGAGGAAAATGGAAATGATGCTGAGACAGGTGGAGAGCTGCCAGGCAGTGGTGGAGCTCAGGTACCACAGTGCCAAGAGCAGTGTCCTTGCCATGGCTTTTTGATGCAATGCCACCAGCTGCTGTGAAACGCTCATGTGCTGAGGGGCTTGGAGGGAGAAGGTACATTCTGGAAGGCTATAATAATTGGTCACTCAAAGTGTGAGAATCCTATCCCGAATGCCACACCTTAGACCAGAACAAGCAAGCACTTGCTTTGCTATGGGACAGAGCCTGGCTTGCATCCACTCACAACAAACTGAAATAGTTTTCTGAACATCACCATGCAAATAAAGTGTGGTAAGAAAGGTCTACCTGTTACTGGTAGGGATCGTTATATGACATGATACTTGTGACACACCTGGCACTTGACTCACTGGCAGGCTACCGAGGGTCACAACTCCCTCCTCATTATCTAAGATACCTTAGGCACAAGCCTTCCACATTCTGGCCTTCCAATACTTTCTCTGGAAAGTGGCTACCGAGTGAAGAACAAACATGAACAACACACACGAAAGTCCAGACTTCTGGAGCTGAGCGCTACCAAGAGGCCAGCTCTCCTTTCCTGACCCTGGTCTGAGTCACTACTCTAAAGAAGGGTGTTAGTGGGAATCAGTGAAAGAAGAAATAAAAGCAAGAACCCACTTCCCTTTCTAATGAAGAAATTCTTCTCCTTTTTTCTAGGACCTCCAATTCTCTGGAAGATGTGTGACCAACCAAAATGCAACCCTTGCTGCCCACAAAAATGCAACCCCTGCTGCCCATCCAAACCACCTTGTTGCATTCAGGCCAAGTGCTGTTGTTTGGAGGCCAAGCCTGAGTGCACCTGCCTGAGCAAAGAGCCCGATCCCTCGTCAGCTTCAACTCAAGAGAAGGGCTCCCAAACCCAACAGCCACCCCAGAGTCCACAGCCTGGAAACAAGACATCCCCACAGGGACAGAGGAAGCCAAACAAGTAGATTTCTCCTGACAACATGTCCACTGTGTTGCAGGGTTTGGGATAACCATGGGCCAGGCTAGACCTAGGTTTACAGCAGCTGTTTTTCCACCTAATTAGAAGCCTTCATATCTCTTCACGGCCCCCTATGAGAGAGAGGCCCCCAGCTGGAAATGGAAAGTTGAAGCGTTTGGAACCACCTGTCCTAGTGATCCTGACATTTAGACAGGACAGAAATAAAGGGCAATAGAAAAGAACACTGCCTCTCTTTGCTCCTTTCCCTACCTGTGATGCCATCTCAAGTGTCTGACACGAAGTCTGAGAAAGTGCTTTGGGGGTGCCCAGAAGGGCCAAGGAGCCAGAAATCGACCATGCTGCAATGTAGTGCCACTGCTGAGTCAGAGTTAGGGTCTGAAATTCAAAGTCCTGCACCCCAGGAATCCAAAGTGTAAGGAGCCCATGACCTCAGGTCCCTGTGTGCCATATTCAGCTTCAGACCAAGCAACACCCCACAAGTCCTTTGGGGTGATTCTATTTTGTCACCCCAGAGATTTCAGACAGAGGTAGGGTTCACAGGACTCAGCCAAGTACCCCGGCTGGTGCCAGGTGAGGAAGCTTTCTGGCAACAATGCTGGCTCTTTGGCCTGAGGATAGCAAACTAGAGGAAGTTGTTCAGTCTGCAACTCTGTTTCCCTTGTGTATAAAAGGAGGAAAATGTCTACTTAGCTCTACTGGGAATCAAAAAAGGATAATTCAGTTCAAATCCTTATCAGGGGGTTAGCACATAGTAGGTTTTCAGCACAGTCTTTTACAAACTTCCTTCTGCCAGCAGGTCCCTGTGGCCCCGAGAAAACAGCATGTTCCAATAATTTGTGCTCAAGCACATCCTCCATTAGTCCAAGGGGCATACAGAAGCAGAGAAATTAGCTTTGCTCAGCAAAACTGTTCACTTTGTTGCTGCTGATCTGATGTGTCATTAACCTCTTCCAAAAATTTTCAACATTTTTGGTAGTTATTTATGCTTCTCCCTGTCCACTAATTCCTAGAAAATAACAGATTTTTATTCCTACAGATTAGCTTTCCTTTTTAAAAAATATGTAAGCAGAATCCACAGTATGTTTCCATTTTTTTAGATTGAGTTCATTTTTTTTTCAAAGATTTCTCCCTAACCCTACAAAGTAGCTAAAAACTATCATTTCTATTCTAGTAGCACATAGGATCTGTATGTGATTCTAAAACAGGAGTTTCCTGGTAATGAATGAACCAGAGACAGACAAAATACCTAGTTTTTTGTCTGGCACATGTGGAGGCACGATTAGGTTAAGGGGCTAGATGGATTTTGTGGTTAATATCACTTCCTGGCTCTTGGCCCTGAAAGCACCCTTCCGGTCCATCCCTTGCCCTCCACCCTGCCACCCTGGACAGTTACACCCACCAGAGCCGCTACTAGTACGTTCCTCCTGGGTTCAGTCTCCTGTGGGATGGTCCCTCTATGCCCAGTGAAACCCAGGAAAGACATCAGCAGGAACCTCTCCAACTTTTCCCTGGCTAGGATCTTCAGAGACCACCAGAGAATCCTGGCCCCTGTGGGAGGCGAGGGAGCTGCAGGGCTGTGCTGATGCTGCAATCTGGCAGTCTGGGGAGATTCCAACCATCACCCTGGTGTCCCCAGTCCCTCTTTCTCTCAGTACCACCTCAGGCAGCCCTCCTGGCTATCCCCCCTGCCCCAGTGCTGGAACGCCCCTACAGGATCCACTTACAGAGAGGGTGCAAGTCCCTCTGCCTCCTCCAGGCCCAAGCATGAAGTCATGCTTTCTTTTATGCCTGGCTTCTGACACTCAGTGAAGATATTTTGAGATTTGAACGTGTTGCTGCATGTGACAAGTAGCTCATTCTTTTCCATCGCTAATTAATAAACACCCTCTGTAGAACAAATGCTTTCAGGTGTTTTCTGTATTCTGTTTATGCCATTAATCCATTGATGGACATCTGAGTTATTTCCAAGTTTTAATACAAAGAAAGGTGCTAGGAACACTGTTAGGCAAATCTTAAGACACATGCTTTCATTGCTCTTGAGTAGACGGACCATGTTGTAAGGTATGTGTGCATTTTGCTTACGAAGAAACTGCCCAACCACTTTCCAAAATGACTGTGCCATTTTGCAATCCCAGTGGAATGTGCAAGTGTTTTGGTGGTTGCACATCCTCGTTAGTAGCACGTATCCTCAGCTTTCCCAGTTTGAGGCATTCTGATAGATAATGACAGTTCATTCTGGCTTCACTGTGCATTTCTTCAGTAGCTGAGGAGGTGGAACATCTTTTCACAGGTTCATTTGTACCTTTGGTGTATTATTTTCGTAAATATGCCCTGCATGTTTTATCTTTTACTGAGGTGTTTAGCTTCTTTTTAGAAATATTTATTTTTATTCAAAAGGCAGATTTACAGAGAGAAGGAGAGAGAGATTTTCCATCTGTTGGTTCACTCCCCAAATGGCCATAATGGTCAGAGCTGAGCTGACCCAAAGCCAGAAGCCAAGAGCAAGGACACAAACTTGCACCCAAATGGGATGCCAGAGCTAACGGGGCCAACTGAACCACTGTTGTTCAAGTCATTGGGCCCTGCACTCTGTGAGAGACCCAGAAGGACCTCCTGGCTTCTGGTTTTGGATCATCTCAGCTCTGGCCATTATGACTCCATAAACAAAGCGCAGCAGCAGAAGCAAAGCAGCTGGAACAGGAACTGACACCCAAGCGGGATGCTGGGGCTAACAGGAGGCCTACTGAACCACCTCATGAGCCCTGCAGTTTGGTTTCTTAAAACTGAACAAACCTTTTATCAGACAAACAAATTAAATATGATCATGCAATAATCACATTTCTTGTTAATTCATTCTCTCTTGTCTTATTCTGGTGCTTACAATAGAATGTATTGATTAGATCATGGTTTAGCTTCAGATTAACCATTTCACCTGGAACATAAGAAACTACAAACAGTATACCTCTTTCTTCTCCCTCTGATCATGTGCTATTATTCTAATGTGTTGTCCTTCTGTATGTTAAAAGGTAGCAATGCACTGCTTCCAATTTTGCTTTAAACAAGCATTCTTCAAGCAGGTTAAATGGTTATAAATCAAGTTCTTTTTTGTTTTTTTTTTTTTCCTCCAGGCAGTTTCCCTTTAGATTTCTCTTCTCCCATTCCAAAATTCCATTTGGCATCATTTCCTTCGTCCAGAGAACTTCTATTAACATTTCTTCTAGTTCACAATCTCCTGATACCTAATTATTTCTGCTTCAGGGGTCCAGAGGGAAAAAAATATTGATTTCATCTTCACTTAAAAGGCATACTTTAGTGAGTATAGAATTCAAATTGTTCTGACTGTTTGAAGTGCGTGAGGGGATGTTGCTCTTCTTGTTTCATGATTTATTTGTTTCTAGTGGGCTTTGCTCTTCTGTGTCTCTCCCTGTGAAGTGACTTGTGTGATGTGTCGGTTTTTCTCTGGTTCTGTGTTGTTATCATCATTTCTTTGAAGAGATGTTGCTCATGTATGCCTTGGTATGGTTTTTTAATGTTTCTTCAGCTTGAATTCATTCATGAATGTGTAATTGTGAGGTCCTTCACCCAGTCTTGAAAAACTTCAATAGCTTCCCTTCGATCCTCTCTGTCAGGAACTTTACATATTTTTATGTTAACTTGCTTAATACTCTCCCATATTCCACTGCAGATGTCCTGAGCGTCATTTCTACTATATGTCTTCAAGTATATTAGTACTTTATTTCATAATATCTAATAAATTAATCAACTTTTAAAAAATTTTAGGTAGTTTTCGATTGAAAACAGCTTTGTCATGGTTAGTTCTGTTGATCATGTTCAATATTTTCTCTAGCTTATTGAACATAGAGTAAATTTATAATATTATTTCAATGTTCTCATCTAATCTATTTTCTAAGTCAATTCAGTTTTTCTCTCATCACTGATATTTTATTATGTCTTGGCATCTCCAGCAACTTTTTTTTTAAGATTTATTTTTATTATTTTTTTATTGGAAAGGCAGATATACAGAGAGGAGAGACAGAGAGGAAGATCTTCCATCCGATGATTCACTCCCCAAGTGAGCGCAACAGCCGATACTATGCCGATCCGAAGCCAGGAGCCTCTTCCGGGTGCAGGGTCCCAAAGCTTTGGGCTATCCTCATCTGCTTTCCCGGGCCACAAGCAGGGAGCTGGAAGGGAAGTGGGGCTGCTGGGATAGAACCGGTGCCCATATGGGATCCTGGGCATGCAAGGCGAGGACCTTAACCACTTGCGCCACCGCGCCGGGCCCTCCAGCAACTTTTAACTGGAACACAGGCATCCTAAATTTTCTCTTCCTGGGTGCTGAATACTTTTGCATTCCTGTAAATTTACCTGAAGTTCAAGCTGCTAGGTTACTTGGTAAGTTCAATTCCTTTCGTCTTCTGTAAGCAGGTCCAGAGAGGCCTGTAATCCAAAGCTTACTTGTAACTAGAACAGACACATCTAAGTACTCTCCTGAGACAGTGCAAACGACGAAGTTACCCACTTTATATTCATGGCTCGTGAGAACAGGAAGTGTTCCTGGCCCTGTGTGTTGCAGAGATTATTTTCTTGCTGATCCTTTCACACGATTCTCCCATCGGGCCTAACTCCCTGACATGAATGTGCTGAGCAGTACTCAGCTGAAGACTCCAGGGAAACATTACGCAAAGCTGCAGGTTCTCTCCGCGTACTTTTCGGTTTCCTCTGCTCTTTTATAGCTTCTAGCTGCCTTGGCCTCCCAAGTCTTACTACTCAACTCAGGGAGAGTTCAAGTCCCATCTGCATTGGCCTCCCCTGCCAGTGTCCTGGGAAGTGAAGGGCTCACTTTGCTGAGTCTCCTCTGTCAAGATTGCTGTGCTCATTGTCTTCTATGACTAGCATCTAGACCAGGATCATTGTGAGTCACTGTCTTCTGTGTCTGGCATCTAGACAACCTCTGCACTCCTCTTCTTTAATGGAAGGATACCTCTGGAATATTCCACTTTGTCTTTGCCAGAACTAGTGGTTCACTAGTTTCACCAATCATTTGCTTTTGAGTATATACAATTGCTGTGTTCTGCATGATAGCTTTTAAACATTCAAATAAATTAGTCTATGCTGTGGTGCTTACAGCTTAGAAAGCCAAGTGAACAGACACAATGGATAAATAAATTGTGATGGTAGAAAGCGTATTTTTCCAACTGCAACAATCTAAACCTTG